GCCTGGTACCAGAGGCTTGTGTGTGTGTGTGTGTGTGTGTGTGTGTGTGTGTGTGTGTGTGTGTGTCCTCAGGTACAAGAGTGCCAGGAGACATGTAATACATCCACTGGGATTCACTATTTGGCTATAATTCACTGCCAATGCGGTAATTTGGGCGTGAACGTACCATATGAATGATGTATGCATATACACATCATTTGTTATACCAATTAAAATGCCTCACAGGGTAGTACCGCTTATAACTGGACTCACCAAGACATGTCATAGTCTCCAAGTATAGTAAAACCAGTAAAAAAAGAACGGTTTCAACTTCTTTGTATTGGACCAACCAAAGTTCTGACCTGATGTGATGCCACACTTTTAAGTCAGAGGGCACTCTTTATGACCTGAACACAACATTGGTGAAACCTAGTTCTCTGAGACATCTTCAGAGATCCACTGAAGATCAATCATGACCGGACCCGTCCCCACGAGACCCTTAGTAACAGCCACTGATTGCTTTCTGCTGGGCAGGCCGTTAAGTGGAGTCTGGCAATGGGCTCCTGGACAACACTTAACAATCAATCAGAGGGCACAACCACTTCTCATTGCATGCTGGTTCTTCCCCTGCATTACACACAAACAATAATTCAGGTGGACACAAGTGACACTTAAGAATCACGGCCAGAGTATGCCCCATGATTTAGCTGGAGAGGGATACGCTGGACTGTAGACAGAAACTTGAGCTGCAATATTTACATAAACCCAGTGATTGAGGACTCATCCACTGTCATTTGGACTATCCTGAACAGATATAGTGGCATGTATTTCATGCTTCTCATGTGCCGTTATCCTTTGTCTTTGACTATCAAAGATTAACAGTTGTTTGACTTTGAGAAATTATTTCTCACAGATATTTCTGAGTTGCTATTGTCTCAATGCCTCACCATAGCACCAAGGTTATGAAACACATTTGTAAAAACATCATTCGCGAGACTGCATTTTAAAAATGGTATAAAAACATTACTAGGCTCTTGAAGGATACTGTTACAAATAATGCATTTTGTCATTTTATCAGGCTCGATGTTTATCAAGAATACACAAAGGTTATGAAATATAATTGAACAATTTTTAAAATGAGACCAAGGCTGTTTAGTTCTTTGTGCCTATCAGTGTAACTAGATATGCAGTTGCAATTCTGCCATAAAAGCCTGGGCTTAAACTTTGCCTATTGATTAAGGATTCCATTGACTTAATGAACCTTAAACCCTCCATCAGCCAATATATGCTCTAATCTCTAAAACGGATGTCTGGCCGTGGTTCCTTTTAAATGAATTGATCTACTCAGCTCTCCCAAATGGGGAAATGGGCAAGTATTGATATGATTCTTGACTCAGTGATGGATGTGTGTGATGGTAAAACACGAGCTCCATGAGCCATGGAGCTGTATAGTAAGCAAAAATTCAGAGTACAGCTTTACCAGAGCTCTTCAAAGACAAAGCAATATCATTTGTGTCTTGGCCAATATTCAACCCACCTGTTTGTTGCCTTGTTTTTGTTCTAACATATATCCCTTCACATTTCTTGGAGGTAAAGGATCTGTATATATCCATGTGGAGAATAACTATTTATATCTCATTCTATCTTTGTGAAATTATTCAAGATGGTTTTCTTTTTGTGCTTTATTGATTTTCAGATAGAACTTTGTTCCACATACAGCTGCATATCATCTCATGTTGTGATATTTTAGCAAAGAAAGTCACTTGAAGGCTCAAATTCATCTCTGTGGTGGAGTAAAGCAATCACAGCAAGCTTCACAGGAACATCACAATGGTTTTGTGTGGTGTTCAGACTGCATGGTAAATATTAATCTAAGTAAGATTACACCTAAGGGAGACTGAGTTGTGTGCGTCCTTCCAGCCCTCCATTGTTTCATTGCTGAGAGAAATGTATTGGGCCATTGTTCTGGCAGAAGTTAAAACGTCTTACTGTTCACTTCCCACAACAGAAAACTATTGTTCTGCCATCAGCATAATAAGCGTGAGTGTCATGAATAATCACAAGTGTGTCAACTAGCTGTTTGTGATCCTCAGCACTGGTGAGCTTCAGATGGCATCAAATAATTTTGTCTGTCTTCCCTCTGAAAGCTGTTCAGCCAAGAATGTTTGATGTCCCTGCAGTTCATTTCAATAGCAGAAAAGCATTTTAGGGAAATTGAAACAACCATAGTTCTTCCTCTGATCTCTTTTTGTACGTGGTTGTCAAAAATGTTCAGCTTTTCCTTGACATGCGATAATGAGTCAGCTGTATAAGTCAAAGGCCCTGATAATTTGAGCTCTTATTTTATAAACTAATTTCTTGTCTCTATGATGAAGGCAGAAATAATAAATCAAAAACACATTTCCAAAGATCTGAAGATTGCATTGTAAATGTCAGTCTGGACGGAAATTGTAATTAGGGAGAGGAAATTGTTTCAGTGAAGCACTTGAATATCAAAATGAACTATCGAATTGTGTAAACATTTATTTATAGACCAATTATCTAAGACTTTCTTGTCTGTCCTTGTTGTCAGACCTTTGTTCTTTTCATGTCAACGGAGCTATTGAAGGGTTCAGGTAGAAAACGTGCAGCAATTACTTAGGTCGGAACCAGTATAATCATCTTCTACCTCTCACTCTGCCTTTGAATTGATGCACACTTAACTAAACACTGAAAACATATATATGAATACTCTATTAACTATTTTATTAAAATCCATGAATTCATTTTTATATATTAACTTAGCAGTGTGTGACCAGCATAGTTTATGTTTTTTAACCCTGTTGCTATAATCACCAGTTGATCCCACCAAGGCCAACTTCATGGTACTCCCACTGGTCTTCACACTCTTTTATAGCGACCAGCAAACCTTGTACTATTGGTTTGTTGGTCTGTAATATCCTCAAGTCTATCTTCCTCTTCTGCAGCTTTCTCCAGTACACTGGAAACCAGATAGCAAACAAATCATGGAAACAACAACATTTAGGAAGCAAGTAGAAAAATACATTAACACATGTGCTATATATGGAGCATTTTTCAACATCTTAACATAGCGATATGTCAGCTCGAAGAGCAGTCTTGGGTCTGCTGTGGATTTTCTTTTTAACACCCATACATACACTGTTGTACAGCAAATGTGTGCAGTTTGGGGTGGGATCCAAACTAAGCCCTCACAAGGACTTCTCCTGTGTGGAACCTTGTCTGTTTATAGTAGTTTTTACCACCTATATTAACATCTCATCTGTTATTGACCTTATATATGGGGCAGCGTGATCCTACATGAGCACCTAACAAATTAGCAATGTCCAAAGGCAAACACTCTGCCTATCATCATAGAGCCTCATTCCCAATGAACATGCACTCTATAGGCTTAAGAGGGTAACACATACCATCTCTTGCTAAAAACCCCAGCATGACGCATAATGAACATGAACATAGGAGCAGGTGATGGTAAGGCAAATGCTTCTAGCTTGTTAGACCCTAAGCAGTACAAAGCAAGAAACACAGTCTAGCATCCAAAATTAGCAAAGGGACTCAGACGCAAAGGCTAAACCTGCGATCCACAGCTGATTCCCACAGTGCTCAGCTTAGAGGAACATCCCTCATGCAGGGTAACACAAATAGTATAGATCTCATGTGATAGCCCTCCAGCTTTCAAAGGCTGTACTGACTTAGACTTGTTAATAATAACTTCAACCCTTTTTTAAATATTTGCAAAGCACTGTGTACATTTTAGCCAGCAACGTTTTGGTTATTGCAACTTTCCCTAATCCACTAATGCATCACAGTACAGTATGTGCCAGCTAAGGTGTCTGACACTGAATCAAAACACAAAGCCGTATTGCAGCTTTCTTTAGATCTGTACCATCAATTATAGCATTTGGTTTTGTGGAGTTCAAAGACCAGTAAATGCAAAATGCATAGGTGGACACTCCCAAAAGAAAGAATCACTCCAGTTGACCAGACTTGGCTGACAGCTGGGGGAAGTCTTTGGCTGTGATGATCAACACATATACACCTCATATACAGAAGACCTAAGAGATTCCTCCCAATTATCCGCTGTCTTGAAAACCTCAAAGATGCATGGGAATCAAAGCTGTCATGGTGCTGCATCTGGAGGTTGTGACATGTAGTGTGGCAGAACTCAGTTCCACGCCTGTATAAATCACCTGCTTGATAGGCCGGGTGGAGCTCAACTTCTTTTTCTTACAAGGTGAGGTGCAGCATTAACTGTGCTGTGTAGAACATAACCCACTCTCGGGACCAGGCCAAAAATAATCTAAGGGAAATTCAGGTAGAAAGAACTCTAGTACCTTTGCAGAAACCTTGGCACTGAGTAAAGTAGCAGAGCAGCAGTGTGCTGTATTTGTAAGCCGCTCCCCAGAAAACAACACAGAGGACTTTTTCATCTGAGGACAACACTGCAACATAAAAATAAACATCGTTCCAGTCTATGGTGGTGAACCACCTGGTTGAGCCAGCTCTAGTACAATTTGTAATGTCAGCAGACGGGCATGCTTGCTCTGCAAGCATTCAACAGATGGACTTCCAAATCCAATCTCACTGTCCTCCACTGGAACTGTTGAAATACCCTCCTTGAGCAGGATATCTTAAGTTTCACTGAGGGGCGCATTCATTTATTTTTCATAATAATACTTACAACATTGCAATGATGTTGGAAAAGGTTTGCGAAATGTCGCAAATATTCAAGTTTGAAACTTTCTGGGGAAAAAAGAGACATTTGACAAATGTTATGTAAATGTCCTATTAGTAAGTTAATCAATTGAAGCAAGAGGTGACAGTGACGTACTGTAGTTGGTGGTAAGGAAAAACTACATACTACGTCTGCTTGGATTTCCCTGGCCTGCCAAAGGGTGGGCTCTGGATGCTGCTTTGAAACACAACTTCCTTGTTCTGTTGTTTGTCTTGCAAACTAGTCATGTTTCCAGAAGTGTCACAAATCACGTCTCAACATATGACTACAGAGGATGTTATGGATGAAGAAACAGCACACAACATTTTGTCTGACTTGGATATTCTAGGATCTTTTGTTTGTGTAGTATTTACCAATATCATTTGAAACGGTTTTACGAGAAGTTAAGTTGGGCTTTTATTCTGTGTGTATAAACGATAATACCATAATGCAATGGTCAAATGTACCATCATAAAGATATACTTTACATTTAAGAGAGGTAATCAAGTATCAAACGGATAGGGTTTCGAAAGTGCTGCGTTATCATGTAAAGATGTCCAGCTCACTAGGAACGTGTGTGTGCATGTGTGTGTTTCCAGTGAGGGTATTGGGAGGTGCAGACCCTGTTCACAGTGATGTCACGCAGCTTCTCCGCAGACTGGCTGAGTAAGAGGAACAACAGAATTTCAACTGGAGAGATCAATTATAGATAGTAGAAAATGAATGGGAATAGTAATTTAATAAATTATTGACTTGATGTCTTATATCATGTACAAAAGCAAATGAAAAATTAGATTGTGCATTTGGATGAAGTTGGATTTAAAGAGCTTCAAAATTATATTTAATTAGACAAAGAAAAAAATGTGTCATGGGTATATGAAGTTTCACTGGGAAGGGTAAATTAATGATCGCATTTGCGGCAATAGCAAATGATGTGCCAACGCAGAGTGTGAATGTCTGGAAAGGCAAGGATTGGGTGCGGTTGGCATTTGAAAGAGTCAACACCACAGTGGTCATCTGTCTTCCCTTTTACCCATTAGATGGACAGATTGTAGGGAGCATTTCTCTGCTCTGTGGACTCTCTTCTGTCGATACAAGTATAAAACAGCTGTTAAAGACGCTAGCTTGACATGTTGGGCATACAACTGCATATATGGGCCAAGTTAAAGGGAAACCCAACTTGAAGTATCTTTGCTAGACATTGGCCCACCGTGAGCTCGCTTGCCGAACTCTAACCAAGTAAGGAACACGGAAACACATTCCATTGATGTTTAATTGGGTTGAGATGAGAGGACTGGGAAGGCCATAGCTTATTTTTCACAACATTTTCTTACTCACATGACCCCTTGTGTCCTGCTAGAAGCATCTGCATTAGTTAATGGCTTTCCACTCAATTATTAAGGCATTTCCTTTAATTTGTCATCCCTCTGTAGGTAGGCTTTTACTGTAATCATGATGGCTATATTAGGTTTGGCTCTCGTACTGTCCTTTAGTTTATCCAAAAAGTATCTTTGTTGGATATTCATTCATCCATTTTCTAACCTGCTCTGTAGGAGGGTCACAAGGCAGTTATGGCCAACTTAAAATCATAGAGTTTACCTTGGACAGGTCTTTTGCAATTTAGAGTTGCTACTTTACCATACCTAGCTTTCTGTATTCAGAGTCTTGGTGAAATGCCATGTAAGCAAGAAGAAAATACAAAACATATTCACTAAAATAAAGCCTGAGCTGGCTGGGGTTTTCGGGGGGGTTGCCATATGTTAAGATCTGTTGTTCTGTAACCTTTACGTTTAATGTGACTTTCACCTTTTTCTGTGATTTATAGTAATAATAGAATTGCGATAACAATTTGATAAAAGTAAAGACACCGAACCATCATGCCTTTATCAAGAGTTCTGCACAACAATGTACACTTGGCTTTATTCTACCTATACTGTGTCAGCCTGCAACACCGTCATGCGAATTCACTTCACATGGAGCGAAATTCAAATTCTCTCTGTCATTTTGCCTAATAAAAACTGATGTTGTTACACATAGTCGTGAAATGGAAATGCTCACATGGAAAAGTAAAAGGATAGTTGTGTCCGGTGCGAGGAAGGGTGCATAACAACTATGCCAACATGTAATGAAAAAAAAAAATCGAATGTTAAATATTGAGAAAAAAGGTTGAAACTTTTTTAGTTCATTGTTTACTCTAACCCGATGCATTATTTCAAACATAAAGTATGGGCTCTGTGGGTTTGAATTTGTGAACTCTATTTTACACTGTTGTTTTATTATTCCAAACAATATGTTCAATGCTGAATCAAACATTAGTTTCCAGACTTAAAAAGCCGATATGCTGGCCCACACAGCAGCCCGAGGAAAGTAAATACAGATTGTAATTAGAAGAAGAAAAGTTGGATTTCACTCTCTCCTTTGCATGACCTGTGATGTGATGAAGCCATGGGACAAATAAGGGGGAGAGGGGAGGATCAGAAGTGGGAGAAGTGAGGGAGGAGATATGGGGAATAAAGACTAATTTATGTGTGAGCTTCCAATGCCATCTCTGGGACGCTGTTTCCCCTCAGAGTTTCGCCCGGCGCCTGGAGAGGCAGAATGCAAATTGCGCAGGTTTCTAGGTGAGGCTGGGCGCAGTCACAGGCCCATGTTGGGACCTGGTTATGCTGTTGCTAAACAAGTGTTCTTTGTCACGCTGGGCCCCTGGGGTTGAGCCAAACGAATCCTATCATCTGTAGTGTTGTGTTACTTAAGCAAAAATACTCAAGTTTGCAGCCACTATTTATAAGATGAAAGACCCTCTTCAGGGAATGTCAGATTTAGTTATTTTCCCCCCAATTAATTTGTGTAGCGAGTATAGTTTCATGGTCCCTGCATTGACTCCCCAGTGGATTTAGTCTGGTGTGCTGTGTATGTGCTCGATAGTCAATGTGTAAAAACTCAAGGAATAAGGACGTGTTTACCAGCTTTGTTTTGTTTTCTGCTACAAACCCGGTTCATGAAGCTGAGCTCATTTTAAATTAACAGAAAACTGTCTTATACCATTGGATTTTAGGAAAAGATTTCCATGTTGTCTAATGTGTTTTCTCTTTCTCTCCCCAAGCCTTTGCTAGTCTAATGGATGCTTACACAGTCACTTATAACAGAGTCCTTGATGAATTAAGAAACACTGTGTTGACTAATTGACAAAATCATTGAAAAGTAAAGATAAAATCCTCACTGTAATTGCATGTGAAGCATCATTTATC